GAGGTAATCTTACTCCTGATCAAGCTCTTAATCTCAAATTCTCAGTTGGGCTACAAATACATGACAGCACACCTAAGACAGCTCCATATATTATTCTATATTTTTCTGTTGATCAAAATTGTCTGCTCTGAGATTATCTCATTTAGCTAATCCGTGTCTCCCTGAACGCATGTATTTGCAGGTGTTTGACCAGAAGGGAGTGGGGGAGCTTGTTAAGGTTGCCGTAGAGCGGGGCCGGAAGGCAAGGCCTGATTTAGAGGTATAATCAGCTCCTAAGGCATAAGTTATCGTGAAATAATTATGCATTACCGTGTACCTTTCGAACATATATATTGAAGGGCAAAACTTGTTTGATTATAATCAATCAAATTGATGCTTGTCATTGAAAATATATATTTTTTGTAATAGGTGGGCATTTGTGGGGAACATGGTGGTGAGCCTTCTTCAGTTGCATTTTTCGCGAAGGTTGGGCTGAACTACGTTTCTTGCTCCCCATTCAGGTCAGCTGCCGCTTTCAAATTTGATTAGTTAACAAAATCAACATATACTGATAAATATTGATCCCAATATTTTCAAACAACTGTGAAACTACTGCTGATTGATCTGGACTTGACATACTTAACGATTTGGATTCAGGGTTCCAATTGCAAGGCTAGCAGCAGCGCAGGTGATGCTGTGATCGGCGAGTACTAATGAAGCAAACCGTTGGTGCATCTTGTAAATATACGAAGAGTAAATAATGCTTAAATAATTTATGTTACGATGGACACTCGCAACATGCTTTGCTTGACGAAATGTATGATGACCTGCAAATGGAGGTTTGCATGTGTATAAATAATATTTTTTGTTTGTGTGCCCACGGTAATTGCTGCCATAAACATCAAACAGCTATCAGAGGTTGCATGTTAAGGCACCTGAAATAATTGTAATTTATTTCGAGAATTACTCAAATGAAATGTCATGTTTTTTTGTACCTATTTATTGAGGAAATGTTTTGCACATTGTTTGATCCTTGAGATCGTCCTAGTAATTCTCGCTTGACACAATATTTTATTTAATTTGGTTGTGGTGCTTTTGCTAGTCATTTCCACAGCTGCTTGTGTTATGCAAATGTTCTAGAGCATGTGTGGCCGCCGTGCCAACGTTATGGTAGGATGCCCGACAAGCCGACAGTTTTCGTAAGCCTTTTTAAGATCCAATTTCAAAAAGATTGCTTCTCTCTTAGACAATAAATTAGTCTTTGTTCTTTTCCCTTTTTGTGAAACGAAGACTAAAAAGTCTTGTACTCTTGTACATATTGTTTGCATGCAACCTTATTGATTGCAGCAGACACCTTATGATACCCGAGATCAATTATTTCTTGGCTTCAGCCGAGTCAATGGGTAACAAAGATAACTGAACCAATGCCCCGTAGCCCGTAGGCCATATGGCTAAAGCTCCAGCCCAACCATTTCGAGCCTCCGATGTACTCCTTATGTTTCAAAATATCAAAATATAATAATTTATAGCATTTAAATCTTGTTTCAAAATATAAAAAATTTTAGCATGATTTAGAGTACTCCCTCCTTCCAAAAATCTAAGAAATATTTCATTATTTGGTTTTTCCAAAAATCAAGTTTGTAGTTACTATGTGTTAAATTAAATTGTTGATCGGAAACCAAGAAGTCATTCTAATACTTATTGGTTATATGTTCATTAGTTTTGTCATATGGTGAGTGAGTTAATTACTTTTTGGTTTTGATGCAAAAGAAATAGGTCTTAGATTTTTGGAAAGAGGGAGTACTATTTATCTCTTTAATCACCTTCTATTGTAATTCCTTTTTATCTTTTCCTTTAGCCTACCTCATCCATCTCATATCTTTTTACAGGATAACTCCATCTGATCCCATATTATTTTAAAGGGATATCTCTATCTGATGGAGTGAAAAATAAGAGGTCAAAGAGATAGAAATCTACTAAGGGCTTGTTTAGTTAATGAAAAGAAAATTTTTGGGTGTCACATCGGATGTTTAATCGGATGTCGGAAGGGCTTTTCAGACATAAATAAAAAAAATAATTTCATAACTCGCTTGGAAAACGCGAGACGAATCTTTTGAGCATAATTAATCCGTCATTAGCACATGTGGGTTACTGTAGCACTTATGGCTAATCATGGATTAATTAGGCTCAAAAGATTCGTCTCGCGATTTTCTCCCTAACTGTGCAATTAGTTTTTTCATTTATCTATATTTAATGCTTCATGCATGTGTCTAAAGATTCGATGTGATGTTTTTGGAAAAAAAAATTTAGGGAACTAAACGGGGCCTAAGTAGATAAGGCAAGTCATACACGATGACCTACCGAAAACGTTATTAACTGCTCTGTTCTCAACAGGGCCGGCCCTGGGCCTAGGCCGGTTGTGCAACCGCCTAGGGCCTAGGCCGGAGGGGGCCCATCATTTACCCCCCCAGCAGCCCACTAGATCAGGTCATCAGGTGATCAGTTAGGAGGCAAGGAGCACGTCGATTCATCTGCCGGCCCACACCGCGAGTCCCGAGAAGAAACAAAGCGCCAGAGCATCACCCGCGCCGCGTCGCTTCGTTGTCTCATCACCGCGCCGATGCCCTAGTCCGCGACCAGCGACCGCGAGTCCATCAGTCCGCCTGTAGGCTCCAGCGCCTGCCGCGGTGCCGCCGTGCATTTCAAATGTTATAATGTTACCTAAAAAACATTTATCGGGTGCTAAAAAAGAAACTGTCCCAGGAAAGATTGAATGGATTGGCTATGTGTAGCATTGAGAAAAATATCTTGGACAACATTGATCTTCAAACTGTCATTGATGATTTCGCTTCAAGAAATGCTCGAAGAAGCTCTTTTTTATAAGGGACACGGGATATTTGTATTAAGGTATTTATACTACTTTGTTTCTATGGCATTTTTTAGTTGTTAATTATATTATAGTTATTATTTATCGAGAATAAATTATTATATTGCAGCTTGCAAATTGCTTCATTTATTATTTACCATGTTAGGAATGTTTATTTGTGTTACTATATGGTATATGGTATATGTGCTTATAGAGTATAAATATTAGAAGTAAAAAAATAGCATTAATTTTTTAAGGGTCCATACACTGTGTTTAGTTCACACTGAAGTTTAGAAGTTTGGTTGAAATTGGTACGATGTGATAGAAAAGTTGTGTGTGTATGAAAGATTTGATGTGATGGAAAGTTAGATGTTTGGAAAAAAAAAACTTTGGAACTAAACAAGGCCATAGTGCCCCCCAAATGTCAGGACCAGCCCTGGTTCTCAAATGGAAGAATCAATTTCAGATGAGTTATATGTACACATGCTTATGTTATTAGTACTTTTGAAGTATTATATCTATTACTCCGTCCGTTTTATATTATAAGATATTCTTTTGGTTTTAACTAAATTTATAAAAGAACATAACAAAATTTTTAATACAAAATAAACTTAATATCAACATATGTTCAGTGTTAGATGTTGCTAAACTTTTATAGAAACTTTAATTTCGAAAAAAAATATATAAAACTTTGTGAAACGGAGTACAAAACCGAACGTCCTCAACAGAGCAGCCCTTCTAGAATCTAGACTTTCAGTTTCACGGCATGTTGTAGTAATCTCTTTTCACATGCATATTCTCCGTCTACTGGCGATTTTATGGGCTGTCGTTTGCTGCGGTTGTCAAATTGTCAAAAAGTCCCTTTCACGAAGACCTTGCGTTAACCGGCAGATACATGCTTCCATCCAACCCATTAAGTTGGTGTTTAATGACCTGCCGGTACTGTGCTGCTGCGTCTTCTGATCGGTGGAATGCACGGAAAGCCTGGGCGCCGCCCGCGCAAGAATGGCCGCGTACGCCAATCCTGACGACGGTTTGGAATTCTTCTTTTCCCCGACGTACTGTCAATTTATTAGTATCGGGTTACTATGATATTTTTCTATTTTTAAGTGTAATTTAATATTCATATTAATTATATATATAGCCATTTCATAAAAAATAGAATAATAATAATATACAGCATTAAAAAGAGAGAACACAAATGTATTAAGATAGTTTTGATTTTTGAATATTGTCTAGTTTGAAATAGTTAGCTAATATCCCGATAGTAACACGATTTTAACGATCCTATGCTCCCGTATTCCGATACTAGGGCGATACCATAAAAAACAATCTTAGGATCGATACAGACAACTTTGCGTAGGTCCAAGCAAATTAGGTTGGTTAGTATTGAGCATCTAGAACAATTAACAAACTGGCAGTTCCCATCAATATTTTTTTTCCTAGGGCCGCAGTCATAGAATTTGGCAATTAAGTACCGATTAATCATTGCTGCTTATTCTAAATGAAGTGTAGCGTATACTTTTTACATCCCTAAAAAAGCAAACTGATCTTTTCTTTTTACAAGTGGAAGTATAACTTGCTACAGTTACAAAATGATGAGCAGTAGCTTCTAGTATGATTTAATGTACTAACAGGTTAGAATCATACAATCGACATATGGATTAAATATTAAGGTGACTATACGCCTTTAATTGAAGGTATTTGGATGCAAGCTAATATTATCTACGTACCTATATATCCAATACAACTTTTTTTTAATTTTTTAGAGGAATACAACTCTTTCCTTATAACAAGTATTATGCACCAAAACCCTTCCTTTCCTCACTCTCTCCATAAGCTATCCATAAGCTAGAAGGGGCGGAGCCACGTGTAAGGTAGCTTGGTGTTCAACCTCATCACACGTGGTAGAAAATCACGTGTAAGGTGGATTACAGCCAGGGTTGGATTGTCCAGGCTCATTCGTGAATGGATAATGCGATTTTAGTACGTATAGAGATTGAAAATAGTGTTCCATAGTTAGATTAGTTACGGCTCAAAAAAATTGCTTTAGCTGAGGTTCAACCTGAGATTAAACATTGTTTTAGACCTCAAGGAGAGTTGGAGGTGTAGATTATTTATATTATAAAATGAGTATTAGATGTGTACACCTTTGTTGGTATAGATTCCGGGTTTTAATCCATTATAGAAAAAAAAACTTACATATAGATCGGCAACCGATCACAGTAATTAAGCAACAACCATTAATTGTACTGCACACTTCTTCGATTGGTTCTCTTCAGGGTAGCCACACATCGAAAGGGGCTGATCTGACCAATGCACATTACAAACCAAGTTCAAAAAGACAAAAAAAAAAAAACATCACATTAACAAAGCTGAAAAAGAAACAAAAGGTGACCTGAAACAAAAAATTGAAGATCCCCTTTCTTCCAGCTACCCCAGTAATTACTACTACTCCAATTAATTAAGATTCCACATAAACACACATTACTGGCTTACTGCAACTCACTTCAGGTGCCCTTCTTTGTGTGGCCTCTCGGCGAGCTCCCAACCTCGCGCGTGCCGCGGCGGCCGGCCAACTTCTTGCCGCTCGCCGGCGGCGGCGACTTCCTCGGGGAGCCCAGAGGGCGGCGCGCCGCGTCCTCGCCGCCGGCGCCTCCGTTGCTCAGCAGGGTGGGCGCGAGGTACCACCAGATGGAGGTGCAGCAGATGGCGAACACCCTCCCGAACACGGCGAGGCACACCAGCATCAGCACCATCACCGCCGGCCAGTAGCACGCCGGCCGCCGCATCCGCCCCCACGAGAACGACGACACCCTGCTCGCCGCCGGCGCAGGTGGTGGAGCCCTGGTCGCGCGCGCGGCGGAGGCGCCCTGCTGCTGGGCGGCGGCGGTCGACGGAGACGACGGCCTGGGTTTCTTGGCGGCGGCGTCGTCCTTGGGGCGCCGCTGCTCGTCGGGGAGCTTGACGATGATGGGCTCCAACGCGCCGTTGGACTGGACGAAGCGGACCATGACGAGGCCGCCGCCGGAGCCGACGCGGCGGAGGATCTTGTCCCGGCGGGCCTCGAGCTCGGAGAGCACGGTGGAGAACTTGTCCAGCCCGCGCTCGGCGTAGGGGTTGATCTTACCGCCGCCGCCTCCGCCGTGCTTCCGCCTCGGCTGCCTGGGCGACCCGCCGCCGGTGCCGCGCGCCGCCGGGTCGTCGTCGTCGACGACGTGCTTGAAGCTGGCCGTGCCGCATAACATTTTCTAACGAAACGAGCTGGTCCTGGTCGCGTACGTCTCTCGATTTTATCGATCTGGAGTGTCTGTCCATGTGATCCATTAAACCAGACGCTTTTAAGTGCTCGAGCCAGTGGTCAAAGTTTTTTTTTTCTGTAAGAAAAAAACTTTTTAATACACGCCGGGTCAAATAGAATCTTCTGTTCATGGTGACGTACTTCGAATGTGCAATGATGAGGGTATAATTTTCTCAGCATCAGTGCATCTCGTAAAAGTAAGTTTAACCGAATAAGATATAATTAAATAAGTTAATCTAGTATGGAATTGGTTATGTAGATATCCTCTCGTTGATTACGTGTCATCTGAATAGTTATAAAAAAAATAAAAAAAATCGACAACATAGATTAATATAAAATATATCACTCCACAAATATACAAGACCAAATTCAACTTTTACAAGTTGCAACAAAAGAATAAAATAAATTGAAAATAGTTATCGTACATTCGCAGCTATACTTGTTATTTTTGTTACAACTTGTAAAGTTGAATTTTAACTTGTGTATTTGTGGAGTGATATATTTCATATTAATCCATCTTACCAATTTTTTTCAAAATTTTTATGACTATTTAGGTGGCATGCATGAAACGAGAGATATCTCCTTGAGAGATGAAATCACTTTCCCTATGGAATGTAATATATCTTACATTTTATTTGAGAAGTTTAAGATTCTTACAATCTGTTGGTTGGTAGCCATTTTCTGCGAATCTTAAGAAGTTGGATTTTCTAGCTTTTGGGTTTTAGAGCCTGTTTGGGGAGCTTCTAGCTGCTATAGCGTTTTCCACAGAATCTTCAGCTCCTCCAAACAATTCAGATTGACACCTTGATTTTGAGAATTCGCAGTTATAGAATCTAGAAAATCAAGAAAGCAAAAGCTGGAAAACCCAACTTCTCTAGATTCTTAGAAACTGGCTACCAACTAGCATATTCTTATAATCTTAAGCTTCCCCAACATGGCCTAGTTCATTTTTTGGGTTCTAGGTGATAATCTAGATTGTTTGGGGGCTAAGTAGACTGTAGTTGATAGAGGCTCCCTAAGCAGACTCTAAAATATGCCACATCTCGTGTCGTATTAGATTAACTTATTCTGAGACAGATGGAGTAGTAGACTAATGTGGATTCTGAGACAGGGGAGTAGACTAATGTGGAAATAGGAAGAGTATTATGTAACAGCCCTTCCTCCAAAACCCCGCAGCCCAGCCCAACCAACAAGCGGGCCCACTTACACATACCACTCCACTTACACTTTCGTCTTCACTTCGTGTAAAAGGGTTAACCCGGTTGTAATATGGTTAGAGGGAAGATGTCTTATAAGTTGGTTCCACCCTTGCTAAACTAGCAAGGTGATACTAAATATGTGCACACAGTTTACATGGGCTACACATGTCTCATCCTAATTGGGCCAAGATGTCACATACACCCCCCTCAAAGAATTCAATGTCCCCATCGGCTTAACTTACCCATGTAGCCACACATGCATATAGGTAAATGTCCATAAACATGCCCCCTCTCAGCGCACGTCCCATGTGCCTCACACAGAGCCCACATGCGCTATGCGTCATATGTCCGTACACTGACTCGTACGTGCAACCGCGAGGGTCGGCTGGGATACCATTTGTAGCAGCCCTCCCTCCAAAACCGTGTAGCCAGCCCATTCGATGAGCGGGCCCACTTATACATGCTACTTCACTTACACTTTCGTCCTCGCTTCGTGTAAAAGGGTTAACCCAGGAGTGATATGGTTATAAGAAAGAGACCTTATAAGTTGGTTCCGCCCTTGCTAAACTAGCAATGATACTAAAATATGCACACAGCTCACATGGGCCACACAGGCCTCATCCTAACTGGACCAGGATGTCACATATTAAGCATCTACTTATAGACTTTGCAAGTAATTATATAAGGACACTATGATTGAGGCAACCTTATACATGAGGCCTCGCCATATGCAATAAAAATATCACTTTTCTCTCACTGCTACTTTGTCTCTCTACAATACAGGTACTTGCCACCATACAGGAGGGGAGAGCCTGCCATGGGAAAGGAGAAGAAGCCAGGGGAGTGCCAGGATAGTCGTTGAAGATCCGCCCACGACAGCCTACTACCATCGTCACCAAATCCGCATGTGACAGTCGCCGCCGCCGTTGGATCCGCTCACGACTGTGTACCACGCCGACGCACCCGCCATCGCCGAAGCCGCCCGAGTTTATCATCGCTGAAGATGGTGTGGGGGAAAAATAGGGTAAAAACGACATGAAGTGACATCCTGGTCTATACTAAAATATGCACACAGCTCATATGGACCACATAGGTCTCATCCTAATTTATTATAATGTGGGATACATCTTAATACCCTCGCTTTTCATATATGAAGGTAACAATATACCTCAGTGGAACCTGTTTGGGATCCACCATAAGACTAACTTAGGAATATATATTGCTGATGCCCTACGCGAACATATATTAGCTCTCACGCAAAAGCTGTTTCTAGACATGCTATAATATAATGCATTAATTATATAAATTAGAGAAAGAGAAAGAAGAAAAAAGATAGAGATAATTTTATAGTTAATCCATATTATATATTAGCTCTAATATAAATTTATAGCTAGTAGTTACCTCTACAATTAAACTTGCTCTAGTCATGGTTATGAGGAAATACAGGCTTACTAGTGTTTACATCCTCTATTATAATGGCACTACCATTACATGCATTGACGTATGGGGCAATAGGAGGGTGGGACCAGGGGCAGAGCTAGAGTATTGTAGGAGGGTGGGACCAGGGGCAGAGCTAGAGTATTGAGGGAGGTACCTAGGAATCCGGTAAAGAAAAATTTGTAGATATACCTGACCTATTTTCACCATGTGTGCACCCCCTCGATATAAATTTAGATACCCATATTAGTTTAAAATTGATATAAAGCAGAGTAAATTAAACAAGTGGCACTCCCCTCCATCTCGCTCTATCTCCGCCTCTGGGTGGGACCCACATCGGCCATATTTGGTCTTGAGGTATCCACTTCAAAAGAAACTTCTCTCAAACTACCGATAGGTGGAAGAGGGCGCGTTATCGATGTGAAATGGATCCAGAGGGATCTCCTCGGCATAATGGTTCGTGTATATATTTTACAAAAACACGAAATCAAAGTTGGGGACTTTTTAGTCCATTTTTTCCAAGAGTCTCCGCTAGTTGAACCGCGTCCAGTAGACGACCTCTTCCGCTCATCTCCTTCGTCAACTCTTTGATAGGGATACTATAACCTAGGTCCCTAAACTTGGAATGGATGGCGGAGCGTATTATTGTAATGGTACTGACATTATGATAGAGGATTCTCACCCCACTTAATTACTACACTTACTACCCTGACCCTGTTAATTTTGGTCATAAGGTTTATTCATTCATCTTAAAAGAATATTACAAACACGAGAAAATATACGTACGATAAAACAAGTTGCAGCAGAATGAAAGTACTTCGACGATGGTTTTCTTCAATAAGACAAATGATCAAAATATCACGTCAAAAATTAATTACATCATCTTTGATTTATGCCAAAACGTGCCTTATAGCTTTAGCTTTCGGGGCAAAACTATTGTTTGGGCTAACAAGTAGTAACTCTTCTAGAAGCACCTTCCGTTCTAGTCACACATGACCATACAGAGCTGCACATAAAACCTCTTTCAGAGTTCATATTAAGTTTTTGTTGATGTGAATCCGGATTTAATTCGGTGTCAAACTTTAACTTCAACAAAACCAATTACGTGTCAATCAAAACCACTATCATAAACATGGTACAAGATGTTATTTATCTAGCTTTACCGGCGATAATCAATACTCCATAGGGTTCCAAATGTAGGAATATTTTGTTTCGACAATGCTTTTATCAATAGTTACTCCATTAGAATTTAATTTTTATGACACAAAATTACATCTATTAGATTCATATTATAAAATATTTGCTTGTGATTATACTTTTAAATCACATTAAAAATAAATAATATTTAATAGAACAATTGTTGGTTAAACTCTTTATCTTAAAAAGTATATCTTATATTTTGAATCAGAGAGACTGAAAAAGGACGGGGCGATGGATGATGGATCCATATGAGTTTGACAATTATGCATAAATAAATGCGTTAAATATTAGAATACTGAGAAGTCTAGAAAATACTGATGAATGATTTTTTTAAAAAAAAATCATACCGCTTAGAACCTTGAATTTTTTTTTGTTTTCTGAAAGGACCATAATTAAAAAAAAATCCAGTGCTAAACGGTTGGCTCACGAGGCCCTTCACAAGATAATAAATAAAGGGTGTAGCTATATTTATGGCGCCATATTTTTCACCAAAAAATAGTCGGCATGTATTTACATTGTAACTTCCTAAATTACATATGTAATTTTAATGTATTTATAATGTATAAATCTCGAAATTACATATGTAAATTCCAAAATTACATATGTAAATATTAAAATTACATATATAAATAGAGTGTAATTTTACATGTAGATAGCAAAGGTCGATCGGATAAATCACAGCAAGCAGCACAGGTGCATGTGTATGTAGTACGAACTAGTGCTTGCACGCACGATGGCAAATTAAACAGTCCTGCACGAATCTAAACGAAACTTTGAGGGCTAACAAACTGACTGTAATTAGAAACTTTGAGGGCTAACAAACTGACTGTAATTAGAGGGATGCAACATTACATGGACTCATGGAGAGGTAGCGCACGATAATCCGTATTTCATCAACTTTAGTAGTTCTATTATTACAGGACAGCTGTGATTACTCCAATCAATTGACGTATATACACCAAACGTTAATCCCTTTCAGGACTAAATTATTGATTGCACTACAACACTCTTTGCAAATTTAGTTCCTACGAGTTCGGACATTTGTTTCCAAATTTAGTTCCTACGAGTTCGGACATTTGGAAACAATTTAATGGACATGCTTTTTCTGTATTCTAATTCTACAGTATCCACATGAAAAAGTATGACTGTAAACTCACTCCTTGCGCTTCCAGATACTCAGCTTGCCATCAATGGGCGTGCAGTACATCCTTCTCACCTAAACAAATACACAAACTATATAGTTCTCCCTTTTGGCATCAAATTATATCCTTAGAATCTAAACAAAATGTAGCGAAGTAAACGGTGTTCACACCTATTTGTTATTCAATATAAAGCTATCCTTGAGGATATCAGCAGCTAATATTAGTAGCTCCACCATTTCCATGCCCGCAGAGCTGAGGGGGTCTTGTTTCTCTGACTTCGATGATTTAGGTGATTCAGATGGATCATAGAGAGCATCACTAGTAATAGCATCTGATGAATCCCCTAACCAGCTTACGGGGAGAGCTACACCAAGAGCTGTCTTCATAAGGTTTGCTTCGGTTATGAGACTGTTCAACGCTTCATACGTACTCTCTAAAGAGTGAGCCGATTTGACATCCTCAAAGGCCTGAAAAAAAAAAGATTATTACAGTCTGCAGGTAAAGTTTTTGCACCACATTATTGCTTAAGCTAGCAGTCTAGCACGGCAGCAGAAATAGTGTCTCATAAGCCGAATGAAATGCAAGTTCAGAAATAATATCTACTAACTAATGTTTATTTGTTGATCATAGGAAATCTTGCAACTGCAAAAATCCTCAACATTCAAGAATTAAAAGGATTGCATTTCAGAATTTCAGATCGAATGGAACCTTGCTTTCCCATCAAGCTTTTTTGATTCTTTTTGTCCCATTGAATATGCAAATATTGTTTGGAACAAATTACCCAAAGTTCATCCAAGTATCATGCATTGCCCACATATCTTTCCAACATTTTGCATCTTTCTAGTAAGCTGCATCTATCAGGGAAAAGAGTTTACCTTCATAAGCACAATATGCAGTCTATGCACTGACGAAGTGAGGTGTTCCATAGTGGCAACACTTTCCAAAAGAGCAGCATTTTCAGCTTTAACCCTGTAAGCAGCACCAAACAAAGCAGACAGCACAAGTCAACGGTTGAAGAGTGGCATACAAAAAATAAACATTTCTGTCAATGTTTCTCTTGAGTGATTTCCTTACTTTGAGTGGACTTACATCTACCTACCATTTTACTATTTTTGGACAGCAGGAGCAAGGAAAATATTATCAAACATTATACCTCCAAATAATATAATAAAAGGTTATCTAATGTTATTGTGCCTCCAAACATAATAGGAACAATGTTGAAAATATAGAGCACAAACCTTGCAAGATCCTCTGAGTGATGTTTCCTGACTGTATGAACGTTTTCATCAGAGCACTCATGCCCAATATTAGTGTTTTCTTTTTTTATCCAATGTCTTAGAGATGTTCTATTCATGATAGTTTTAAACATCCCTTGTCGATCATGTGCAGGAATGATTTTCATATTATCAACAGCCCCATGACCATCCTTTGGTGTTGAATTTCTGTATCAGCAAAAAGGATATCACAGTTATAAGAATTTGTACTATTATGGATCAACATCATGGGGTTAAGTACCAGTGACAAAAGAAGCACTGAAGCGGCTTACCCTTTCAACATCAGATATTCTTCTTTAAGTTTTGCTAATTCTACCAAGATTTTAACCTTTTCCTCTTTTACCTGTACACGACAGGTTAAAGTCATTATGACACATCATAAAATGCTAAACATTAGTTCCAGAGATGCTATCAAATAGAAGAATTTAAAACAGGACTGTCAAACATGAGCCTAATAATCATAACCAAAACTGCAACTTGCCTAAGGTCAACTTGCTACAATGTCCGTAAAAATAAATCTAGCCACAACTCACATAATTTGGTCAAACTCATACAAGTGAATTGTTGTACACTATGGCAAGCTTTGCCTTCTAATCAAGCTACCCTAAATAGGCCTTAATCCCCCCCTAAATTCAAGAAAACGATACAAAGTTTGCAGAAATAATGAGGTGAATACATAAAGATTGTAAATTAGTTTTCCAAATAAGTTATCAAATAATGGCATAGAGCAAAATGAATCACACTGTTAATCATGGAGGATCTCACCAACCAGCAGTATATTCAGTCTAGTTGTGAACATACTAATTTGGATATTTTCAAAAAGATATATCCCATAATCATATAATCTAGTTTTTTTTGAAAAAAAAAAAGAAGCATAAGGCCCAAATTCTCTTTTCCAACAAATAATGATTCTAGGAGTGAAGAATATACTTGTATAATCTTATGATACTGTCAAATAAAATTATCGCATATAAATTGCAATGTGTCCCTCCATGATTCAGAATTCTTCATTTTGTAAAGATTGTAACTAAAAAGGTAAGACCACATCAAAAGCATAGTGGTACTACTTGAGATAAGTTCTTCTGAAGTTCCTCGATGACAATTTGGTTTCTCTGCTTCTCCAATAGGTATCTTTCTTGTTCCTGTGAGAAGAGCATAAGTGCCTCCATCTGTACGTAATAGATATCAACATAACGTAAGGTTATTCAATCCAAAGAGCACTATCAGAACTATAAAAAAAATTGACAAAAGTTAACTCATATCACAATTCATGAGTGGGCACAGGAGAATCAAAAGAAAAGGAAAGCAATGGAAATGTACCTTCTCATGCAAAGCTTGCACAAGCACATCCGATTCACCAAATGTTGCACAATCAGAAGGAATGTCCCCCTTCAACACAAGCGATCACATAAATAACAATTACATATGAAGTGTTTTCTTAAGAAAAAGGTAAGGCACTGTACAACATAGGCATCCGAACCCAGATATCTTAGGGAAAGATGGTATTATGCATAGAAAATATGAATATTGGGTATTACACAGATGTATTTTTCAAATATGCCAACTATAATATATTAATGGTTTCTACTTTTTTCTATTTATGTTATAAAAGCTACCATCGAGGATTTACTTTGACCTTACTCAAGCGAGAAATTTCACTTGGTCACTTCGTTTCCAGAAAGAAAAATTATTGCTCATATGAAAAGCAAAGTACTTTCCCAACGGCAGAGGAATTCAGCAAGCAAATCAAAGTCTGTAAATTGAGTAGTTCCCTTGTTTTATTCAGCCAAAAGTGGTATAGCAAAGGAAAGCTCAAGACTGGTGTCAGGCAAGTCAAAGAATCTAGTACAAAGCCTACTTGTAGTATTTTTCTTTTTCCCTTTTTTTTTGAAAAGATACTTGTAGTCTTATTAGTCTGAAAGCCTTGTCTGCCTCCTTTGTATTTTCAGTACAGAACTGAATGAAGGACACCTGGACTTGGCTCAGTCACTAGACCAAGCAGAAGGTCAAGGATTAAACAGTTGCTTCACTGGTGTTTATGATTCCTACTTTTTTGGAATTAGATTAATGTACACTTGCAAACATAACTATGTTGACCTATTCAATACTTCAAAGGGAAGGCATTTTCATCCGAAGTTTCAGCTTATCTAACATTTTTCTTCAGCCTAAAGGAACAGTCCACCATGGTCCAAGCCAGCTTAATCATAGTTGACCAACCATGGATACATTATAAAATGACTTAGAGTTAAACTAGAATTTACCGTACAATTGGATGGCTGGATACTAAAATATGTTTGCATCTAGAATAACAAGAATTGCATGTTTGTTACTGAAAATACTTGTAATGCAGCAGATCTAATAAATATCTAATTAGTCTATATCGTTGCAATCTAGGCCCACCATGGTAAATGGCATACATTTTCTCTTATTTTTCCATTATGGCAGTGATTTCTAGATCTTGAGGGTGAACAGTGCCAACTTCTTTTAACCTTTTCCTTAATAGTACAATAGGCCAGTGGCGAATCCATGTGTTAGATATGGGATGATTTAACTTTGCATGTAAAATAAGGAAAAATTAAAGAAATGGCCCCACTAACATATGGAATAGCGATAATTGACCCCCAGTGTAAAATTTGACTCTTCCACTGTAATAGGTTGATTGATTTCAAATAATATCTCACCAAAGCAAAGGTCATATGGGTCTTTTGGCAATGTGTATACTTGACTGACGTCTTAGTTTGAAAATGCAAATCTTGAGCATCTGTTCTCCAGTTACAGCAATCATACTTATCCTTGGTAACATGAAGTATACAGTTTGAGTACTTCACACAGCTACTGGACATCACAACATACTAGTTCTATCTAAAAACACATCCCACTAGTTGTTAGTTCCCAACTTCCTATCACATTATTTTCTTGAATTAAGAAAGTAAAGAATTTGTTATGAACTAGATGGAGCAAAGCAATTTGGGATGAAAATAAAACAAGATGCAGTTTTGAATCCCCATGGCAACAAGAACCTTGCTGAAAAGTTGAAAAAGAAAATTTATGATAACTCTTTCAAGGACACATGAGCTATAAACCTTAAAGAATACAGCAACCAGTCAAGGTTGAGCTGTTCAAATGCAAACAATTCTGGCAAAACAAGGATTGGTGGAAAACCCCAACATAGAGCAATTTTCATAGAGTTTCTTTCTTTGGTCTCATTTTTTTAAATGCAACCCATCCAAGCGTCACATATTATTTATTGCAGGCCTAAGTCGAATTATCCTCAGTCTAATTATGCACCAATGGAGAACCTACACAACCAAAAATTCATGTTTCAATATGCTAATGTCATGGGTGCATCTTCAATCATCCATTTCAGTCTTATAGAAGTCACTACCATTCAGATGATGATGTGGCCATGAGCAGGCTGCAAAGGCTGCTAGAAAGCAACAGAAAGCCCGGGCAATGCAAAGGGTGACTACTAAGGATAACTCCTGGAAAAGAAAGAAACAAGAGGAAACCCATAGTTGAAAAGTTCTTATGTTATACCATAAGACATTATGCTAGTTAATGTATGCAGTGAAAATTTTTATCTTGTTATTTGATCATGCCCTGCTGTGAGCTTGTTACAGAGGACATATGAGAAGAGGGTGTAGAGCACACCAATCACCAACTCAATCATGTAAGCTGGAAAAGTTGCGTCCTGACAAAATCATGGACTAAGAGTCTAGCTAATTACTACTCCCTCCTTCCCAAATTGATCATCATATAAGTTTATGCACAAAGACCAAGAACAAAATAAATCACATCAATCAATACACCATAATGCATGCATCGATTAAAACCCTAGGCCAATTACACCCTAGCATGCACACATTCTCCCATACTGCATTAATTGTATTCTGATAAAATCCGTGTCCATGTAGTTATATGATGATCAATTTGAGAAATTTTGAATTCTATTACATGATGATCAATTTGGGAAGGAGGGAGTAATTAGCAATATGAACTATGTGAAAGCTCTACCTGTGTTATTCTACAGTGGCTCAAACAACAAATCAACAAATAGAAAAGCAAAATTAGAATAGGAAGGAGCCATCATATTAAAATCCGGCAAAAGTCCAAACAAGCGGAAAAGACTTTTTGTTGATGTGCCTTGACCAGAATTTTTTTCTTCAAAAAAATCAGTTCATGGAGAGAAGATATGACCATATTGTATTAGGTAATTTGCTGATTTGCAGAGAGTATGCTGCAACCTGTGAGCATATATCCAGATCATGGAAGAGGCTTACTATCAATAGAGACTTGGGATTGTGTACTGAACAAACCTTAGGGCTGATGCCAGGGCTGACATCTGTAGTAACATGTACATCTTTACAACTGCTGTCACAGCATTGCATCTCTCCAACAGGGTTTTCATTGATTTCAGGGTTGATACGAATTTTACTTAACTTATCTTGAATCTCATTAACAACAGTGCTCAACTGAGATGATTCTTCTTCCAATATTTTCATAATGTCATCCCTTTGTTGTATATGCAACTTTTGAAGAGTTGAAAGGCCATTTCTCATAAACTCATCATAGAGTGCCTGCATTCCAAAGTGTACTACACAAATTAAAGATGTCATGACAAAGAAATATAATCTCAGTTTTCATACCTGTCTTTTCTCTAATACTCGTGCATTTCTTTGCAAATGTTGCTCAATTTCAAGGCCCTAAACATCCAAAAACAAATACGTCAGCAAAGCCAAAAGATTACGCTTCTCCTACCATTTAAAAAAAAATCGTCTTACCATTCTTAGATTGTTTTGAAGCTTAGCTATTTTAGCTCTCAGTGAATCTTTCTCTTCTTCTAGAGATGCCTATAAAAAAGAATAGTTACTTAGCCAATGGGGCATGTTCTTACAAACTACTGCCTCTAATTCTGAATGTAAGTCATTTTAGACTTTGCATCCTTTGTCAAAGAACAAATTGAAAACTGTAGCATAATTTAACTTAACAAATTAGAAAAAGCAAAGTTGTTTAACACCACAATCATCAAGTATCCGAGTAGTATGTATACAAAGGGGGTTATATAAGAAAGCTTAAGATCAAAGCATAAATGCCTCTAAAAAGAGAAAAAAAGAGAGAGTATCAACATGGCCCTCATTTTTGCACTATTTTCACCATAGAATTGGAGCGTACGCCAGGATAAATGTCTCCTAAATAGTGGATATAGAATCAAACAATTCATAGATGTGTAATAACTCAATTTGAATTCAATTATTGAAATGGATAAAGGGCTTTAAGTTTACAATGTACTTCGAAGTTGAGGTTCCTCCATCTGAGCTGAAACTCCAATTATCAGCAGAATCGTCCAGAAGAACTGAACATTTTTCTTCAAGAGTAATGTTCACAGAGCATTCAGAGTCTCTACAACGAACATCATAAAATTTTTGAATAACCTGAAACAGAATCTAGCATTAATTCCACATTAACTAATGTATATTCATGTGTTACAAAGGATTTCCACATTAACTAAGACAGGATAGATCACATTTTAGGCCTGTTTGGTAGAGCTCCAACTCCTAAATTTAACTCTATGAATTGAGTCTGGAGTGAAGTTGTCGAGCTGCCTAAACCCAGCTCCACCTCTCTAGTTCATTTTGTGAGAGCGCTCCAACCAGCTCCACTACCATTTTAGGTGGAGCTGAAACTGTTTGGTGGGGCTCTAGCTCCAGGAGAGGTAGAGTTGGAGCTAAAGCCGTGCCAAACATACCCTTTATTATCGATTAAAATAAGAAGATTCTATTGCTCAATGGAGCACCCCAACTAAGGTGCACCATACCATAAAAATCCATTCGGAATGTAATGAATAATTAGGAACAAATTTGATAGCATAGAGTACTTCCATTCATCAGCCCACAAAATTTCAAACGTAAATTCGATCTACACATTGAGAAACAAAATACAACAAATTATGCTGAAAAGAAAGTGCTAAATAAAACATAAATTTGGTCACATGTCTGTCCTTTTCGTTTCTCAATGTGCGGATCAAATTTATATTTGAAATTTAGTGGAATAGTCAATTAAACCATACTCCATGCAACTAACTCTTTTGAGAATTTTAATGGATATTTGCATTTGTTTTGCTTAGTCTGAAGCACCCTAGTTAGGGAACCCCAGAGTACCAGAAATGATCTAGAATTTTAAAGAGTATATACCTTGGAGGTGTATGATAGTATAAATAACACCATAGATCAGAAAGAAATATGCTGTGAAGAATTTTATTTTATTTTCATTTTTTTAAAAGGGGAAGAATCTTATTTTCTACTCAGGAGTTGATCGTGATTATTTTTATAGTACAATACTATAATAGTCCTGCTTAAATCAATTTACACTATAAGGTTGGAAGAAGAAAAGGCATGAATACTTAAATCCTAGATTTAACATATTAAGGCGGGTGCTTGGTTGGTGGAATGATGTTGAAACTGTATGTGATGCTGGTTCGCCTGAATAGGTTGCTGCTGGATGACATTGACCAACTTCATTGTTTAGTTGGGTATATGGTGGCATAGATTTCTGCTTGGTTTTTAGGTTGGGTATATATCAGTTGTTCTCAAGGTTCTGAATATCGGTTTTGCCAGAAATCTCAGCACCCACACCCTGGATTAGCAGTCTTCTAGAACAAGGTTACTGCCAAGATTTTGGACGTAAGTTGTTGCACGAATTTCCTGATATATGATATTGGCACTACCGCACTAATGGACAAAATTACATACTTTCAAGGAAGATTGTGTCTGCTCTTTAAGCCTCATCAGCTCCATTTGTAAGGCATCGTTTGACCGTTTCTGATCATCAATTGATGATTGATATTCTCTTGTCCTGCCAATAAGTAATCATTACGATACATTGCACTCGTCAGAAACTTGTGCAGGCAAGTTTAGCATAATGAGAATAGCTTTTAAAACATCAAGTTAGCATTCCACTTACAATTGCTGAAATGTTTAAAAGACACAACAATGCAAAAATAAAATACATGAAATAATCCAACAATAAACTTTAGGGATTAACAAAAGCAGAGGGAAAAAGCACAAAGTGATAAACCATATGCTTAAAAAAAAGGCCATAGCAAAAATAGGGGAAGATTTAAGCAGCAGCCCTATAAAACTCCATTTTCCCTGCCAAAAATCTGTAGGTCTTGTACTCTCGTTCTTCTTAATGAAATAACTAAGATACAGAACCCATACTTTAACAAGACTAGCCATATACTTCTTCACACGCTTGAAATACATTTCAGTCCTTTAGATTGCTGCAGTCATAGCTAGTAATATTTTATTACCAAAAACTAATATATGCATGACAACTAATATACTGAAAAAGAAAAGAAACCAAAAAAATAGTAGTAGTTACTGGCGAGAGGTCATGATCTTAGAGCAAAATTGCTACCTATTAATTTCTGCACATTCTTGCTATCAAGTTACTGGCAGGAAAACATAGCAAAACTTCGCCATCCTATCAATTCCATCATCCAGTATGAAAACCAAACCTCTCTAGATCATTCCAATGGAGAAATACAAATAAATCTAGGGTACCTATCAAACAAATTGAATAGGAAATTATGGTACCTTTCCTCGAATTTGGCAAACTTTTGTAAAATTGCTTCTTCTCGCTCCTTTGCTTTCTCACACTATCAATTTCAACAGAAAAAATATGCACTTTGTAACAAAGAGCAAAAGTCACGTATGCAGTTATCAACTCTCCTGCTGCACAATTAGATTTGGCAGGTAAACTCAATAAAAAAAACCTTCATTAACGAATTGTCTCGTTCAGCAAATGCTTGAGCAACGCTGCTTTGGAAAAACCTTACTTGCTTCTCTAGTTCCTTGTTCTGCATTATTGTTTCCAAAAAGAATGTCACCTCAAAGATAAGCATGAATACATATGAAAAGAACTTAGAAAATTGGTGTATTTCCTTAAGTAACGAACACCAAGACCTTAAATATGTAAAAATTGACCGCAGGCTCATGTTTAATTGTCGCGCTGCAGGTTTTGAAGTAGAACTAGCATTGGATTTGAAGGTATGCTATATGAAGAAAAGAGTAATCCTTTATATTCCTCGGGTTATGCAAGGTTCCATTCGGATTTCTCTGATAATTTTGTCAGATTTAAGTTACTATAGTATGCATTAGTTGTGCCTTGTGACTAGAAGAAAATTTTCTCAGTTGAAGCTCAAGTTCATGACTCTTCACCCATTAAAATAACCAAACTGTTACTCACTATACTGCTTACTTGTGGATAATAGAGGACAAGCGCAAAATCTCATGCCACTGGAAATTTCTCATTGATACCAAAAAGCAACACATTCTAGAGAAAGCAGAACAGCCAGATGTATAAGTCAAAGTAAGATACCTTTGATAGCTCAGCCCCATGTAATTCAGCAAGCTGACTCTGAAATTTAAATTACAAAAGCATAAAAAGACAGAACAAAAGAAAAGAAAAGGACAGTATAGAGAGAAAGGAGGGGGGGGGGGGGTACGAAACACACTTTAATTCTATAAGCCTCAGCAAGCTCCTCTTGCAAATTTTGGTTCTCTCTTAAACATCCACCTAACTTCTTCTGAAGATTTTCAATATCCTGCTCCAAAGCAGCTGTCCTGAACAGTTAGAATAAACATATTGCTTTATTTATGCTACTGTTACTGTAAACAGCAGTGGAATATGAACAGAAGATATGGAAGAACCTCTGAGAAAGCATTCGAGTTGCAACAGAAACATATCCAGGACCAGCTTGTTGTTGCATGCATAATTGCTCAATATCTTTCCTAAGTTCATCTCGTTCTGTCAAACCAAGTATATATTATGTAACCCCGTAGTTCAGTACCACAATAAAACAGGATGAAACAAAGAACTATTTAATAAAGAAATCCACATGAGCAACTTTCTGAAAACAGATTTTAATGTTCCATTCACTCAACAAAGCTGCAGTATGATATATGATAGAATAACCAGTCATTTGTCATCGGAAATTCCACAAATCTCAAACTTTAAATATAAAAATACTTGTGATAATCAAATTTAAGGTATTGTGTGCATAATTCACGCAAGAAATACAGCCACCTGAAAATATACACAAATAAACAATGCAGCCATTTACAAATGGCACTAAAAATAGCACATAACTATCATCCACCGAAGAATGAGGACAAAACAGAACCACCATCAACTCCTAACTATAAGGAATAAAGATAAGCTTCTTGAGGGTCAAGTTATCCACTCCCTAAACTCTAGATTTTGCCTTCCACATGGCCGGCTATTTTAGATCTATCCTTCACCTACTACTGTTTCTACTTCAAGTCCTCACCATCCAACTTCATTTCAACAGATGTTTATCCACACATTATGATGTAAGGGTGTCTGGTTGTAAAAATTGTTAGCTTGATTCCTAGCATGCAGAATCTTTTCTCACGCGTGCATGCTGGGAATGTCACATTCCCTGTGATCAAATTCCCACAGTTAGGACATCAGGGAATGTTAAGATAACCATTGATCTCATTTTCCTATAATCAAACACACCCAAAGGATCATCAGGCAAGGGCAAAAGTGTGAGCAGACTGCTATGCGTATGCGTGGTTGAAACCAACCAAAACACTGGGGTGACTATGCATTGGTGGATTCTGGAAGATGGGGTGTTACAAAGGGTAAAATCATCTGTAGTGCACATGTATATATTTCGGCAAATGTGTTAAATGCAAACAATGTAGGGTAATATGCTTCAGTTGGTTACTATCCTCAGACAGAGACATGATCTAAGGCAGCAGCTCAAGTAGTCTTTTGCACTTTGTTTACTACCATTTTTGTTGCCTGCCGTATGTGTCAGGTACCTGGCAAGTGGCAAGTCAAAACAGATGGTGTAACTAGATGCAGCTACAGTCGTGTTCAGTTTAACTCACAGGGTGTGCTGAGAAGGCCAGGAACAGTGTTGGCCTTTATGTGCAGAGGAGAGTCGCTTCACTGCTGCACCATGGAGCAAGGGGCTCATATGGGATTGGTGAATGGGTGACACACAGGAGGGGAGAGAATCCATGCAGTTGTTACTTTCATGGTTTTGAAAAATGCCACTACTATTTAACTATTTGGAACCATATCATTACAATTTAACGGGTATTTGATATGTGCCACTGAACACCCCTTCGCTGCACTAAAAATTTCTAGTGGACCAAAATGCCCATGTCTTCTTCCTTCTTTCCCTTCTCTTTCCACTCCTGACATCTCTCTCTAGATCTGGTTCCTGGTGCTTCTCCGGTTAAGAAGCCCAGCAACACGACAAGGTACGCAGAGGCGGAGCCGTGGAGGCTCACACAGGCCCAGGTGCAAGCGGAGCTGGTGCCCACGCTGTCAAGCTGGGCCACAGGGAGCAGCAACGCTGGAGTAGGTGACAACATTGTGCACCAACATCTGGCCAGGCAGGACTGGAGGGATCCTTGCTTTCGTGAGCATTTTCACAAACAGTTGGCGTGCAGCAGAACTGTGAACAGATTGATTGAAAGAATAGAGAAGGTGCCAAGATGGCGTAGTGGGAGATGGGTTCCTCGTCAGTGGTGAGAGGAGGCTTCCTCATTTGGTGCGCGGCTACCACAGCCACCGATGGTTTGGTACATGATGGTGTGGTGGGAGATGGTTTCCATCGGCGGCGGTCCGCAGCTGCATGGCCACAGGCCCGCAAGGAGGCACGAGGGGAGCGTCGAGCGAGTCTTCGGCTTCCGTCGGTCATCTTTGGCACGGGGCTGCCTCCGGCCTCGCTACCAATACCTGGGAAACCATCTCCGTCGGTCGAGCCCACGGTGAGCGTTCTCCTCACCTCTCCACCTTGACTACTGCTTGGGGCTAACGTCTCCTGTGCCAACTGCCAAGTCGCTGCCCCAGGGAAGAGATAGGGACGAAGAAAGGCTCCTGCGTCGTCCGAATCTAGCTCCATCGATGGGAAAAGATGAACAGGGGAGAAGGGGTGCAGGAGGAACACATGGGTAATTTGGTCCAAAAAATTTTCTGAGTACAATGAAAGGGTATGTAGTAGCACATCTCAAATACATGTTAAATTGTAATGGCATGGTTCTAAATAGTTAAATAGTAGTGGCATTTTTCAGAACCATAAAAGTAATAATGGCATAGATCCAATTAACGCTTTTCTCTAAGGGTGCCTGTAGAATAGTCTTACTCGCTAAAACCTAATATAAATTATATTAATGTGAACTTTTTTCATTGGAACAAAATTACTCATCAGCTTCATATGACCAATCTAGGTATGGCACATATTCTTGCCAAAGTTTAAATAGTATAACTTCGTAATTCCAGGATAATATTTATTTTTTATTCTACAGATTAAAATCTGTATTCTTCAAACGTTTAACTACTGAAACCTAACAGAAAATAAGTTAAAACAGAATGCATATAAAAAAGCAACCCCAGCAGACTACTATCTGCCAGATGTCCTTAGTTTAATTTTTTTTAGTGGTTAATAGTTACACCGTGCTACAAGTTAGGCTCTATGAATGAACTACTTGAGCAGAGAAAGAACTTTAGAGAGTTTATCTGATGAGAAGCTGAGAACTACATGGAAAAATTAATTGATTAATGAATGAGAATCTTGTATGTTGTGAGTACCTCGCTGGAGTTCTTCAACTCGACGAGATAATACTTCAACTAGGTCTGTTTTCTCATCCAAATCTGCAGAGGGAAAAAAAGAGGGGGAGGGGGGGAATAAGACCAATGTTCCTGAAATCCTGAATCAACAAATGCAATCGATATCCAATTGTTCATAGATATTAATACCATGTGTGTTAAGACCTGAGTGAGAAAAAGATCAAATAAGAAAGCCCATACTTGGACCATTACCCACTTTTGCAATCAGGTTCAACAAGAGAACTGGTCAATCTGGCATAACAATGCTCAGATGCATAGCATTGGCCAACAGTACCATAGGAGAGGTTTTTATGAGTAAATACAAATTGACTTGTCAGGACAAGACTCCACGAAGTGCTAGAAGCGAGGTAGCTAGAAATTGTAGGTTCCGAGTCATGCATGACTCAAAAATCAACATTGGTAATACGATATTTAGAACAACAATCAGATAATCAGGATGGAGAGAGAACGGTCACTAGCTGACCAGGAACACTAGAATACCATGGGAAGGCGATACAAAACTGGTACCCAGAAGTTTTAACTGGTTATAAAATATAAACATAGCAGTAAGGAAATCTTTAAATCGTTCACCACTGTATCAGGTAATCAAGATTTCAAGTTATACCAATAATCATTACAATAGAAGCACATCGGCAAGTGCTGAATCACCTAGAAATCTAGCAGTAAAGGAAGCTTCATTTTGGTATAACAGAGAATTCAAGTATATGAATGTCAAATAGGAAATCACCATATTGGAGCCCTTCAACCCGACGGATAAATACTTCCAAAGCATGCTGCTTTTCATCTCTTTCTGTTTAAGAAATATAAAGAAGCTAATTATATGCAAGCAATTGCATTAGAACATAACAAAACATTAACAGTGGGGCAAGTCATAAAACAAAATACAAGCACTGCGCATCAAATAAGTAGAAAATACAATTAATTTGCATATTTATGTTTAATTTTCACACTAACTCTTTACATATTTTTTGCATTCACTGGTGTAACAGGAACCTGGAGTTAGATGTTGGGAAGGAAGGGAAACATTGGAAAGGAAAGGGTAGAATATGAAGTGACAGAAAACTGCAAAAAGGTAACGATGAGAAACAGAATGCAAGACAACTATTCATTTACACAAATGGTTTGTAGAAATGTAGAGATAAGAAGCAATTACATTTTCTACAAATGATCCCCTATGTCCCCCGACCAGCTACGTTTTCTACCCTGGGATTTCATCACTGCATGTACACATCAGGCATGTTTGGCTGGTGATCTCATTAGCATGGGCACGTCCCGCTATGAGGAATGCCTCAAGAATTCAAGATCGACTCAGTTCAAACTTCACAGTAGTTTTTTTTTCTGAAAAAGCATGCACATTGAATTGCCTGGTCTGTTATGAGGACAAGATAACACTTTGAGATGTTTGCAAGGCTAAGGAAAACAAACAGGACCATCAACAAAAGATGTCATTCACAAATACTAATACAAGTGCCTCTTGAAAAAGGAAGCCTCAGTGTTGAAGCACAAATATTACCTAGAATTTTCTTCAAATTTATGAACTACTATATGCAAGAGGCATGTCCAGATGATATATTTAATTATCCCTGCCATGGGTCATGTTAGGCTCCATAGTTTTCATTGCTCACTGCATAGTTCAGTAGTTCACATATCTACCACCAATACTCCATACACTATTAAGTAATATGGCACATGCTCTCCATAGTTTTAATTGCTCACTGCATAGTTCGGTAGTTCACATATATACCACCAGTACTCCATCCACTACTAAGTAGCATATCCTCCTTAATGAAATAAAATGCAGCACTCCTGCATTTTTGAGAAAAAAAAAACTTCCTACATTCAGCACCAACATTTGCAGCAGAACTCCTCAACTATAATAAGAAGCAAGGTTGCAAACAGCACATGCAACAGAACTCTCGAGGGGTAATATTGAGGAAAATAAACTTAACCCTCCTCTCCAAATTAACAATCATCTACCATTTTCCGTTCTGAATTCCAATTCTCTCCCTGACTGACTATTAATCAATTACAGAACGGCTACCAAATTCCTGATAAAGTACCAGCACATCACATAATAGTCTCAACAAAATATTCCCCTTTGAAAAAACAAAATTGGATCCACCGCATAAAGTGTTCCGCCATCCATAACAACCATCAAGAAAAAAGCATGAAGATACTGACACTACCATATAAGCTGAGGAAAGCAGCTTGTATAGTGAATGTGGCAACTAATATTATCAGGTAAGGATATTACCACGTTGTAGATCTTCAACCCGACAGAGTAGTGAGGACTTATCCACGCCACTTGCCTCTTCAGCCATTTGTTACTCCTCCTGAAGATGGTGGTTAATTAACTAAGAATGATTTGAGAAGTTGCTTTTCGGAAACTTGATTGTTTTAGCTCGCTGTAAGGTTGTTCTGAGTTACGAACTGGCCAAAATAACCCTAAGACAAATCATAGCTTGTGCAGAGAAGAAGAACTGCAGATTAAATGCCACGGTTGCACGGTTCTACATACAATACAAGGTGTCTTCACAAGTCACAACTCATTGTAAGATGAATCTGTATATCGTCTGTTATTGAAGATTTGTTGGAAAGCTCAAAATTCAGAAGCGCTATACACAAATTACATTGGAGAGAGGTGACGACTGACTCCAAATGTTGCAGAAATGACCATTTCGTAGGATGAAATCAACAACCTAAGTAGAGACATGTATCGAATTTTCAGAAATTTGGTTAATACACATGACATGAGCATAACCTCCCCCCGAAGTAATCCCGTAAGACAAAATTGCTGCCTACCAAATCTCACCAATCAACAACTAAAAACAGTAAAATTAATGATAAATAGAAGTAAAGTCGGCAACACACATGAATCAATCAGGTAATTAACTTCGAGTCCAGAAGGTGAGAACAGAACTAGTGCAGGGCCCCTGACCTAGAAGGATGCGAGGGGGACGCTTGGTGACGGATACTGGGCCGGAGCAACGAGGGAGGGTGGTACCGGCAGCCGTCGTCGGGGGGACGGGGCCTGGCGCGGGGGGGGGGGGGGGGGGGGGGACGACGCCTGCGGAGGAGACGACGGCCGCCGTGGGGGAGGCAGAGGGCTCTGCGCCGGGCGTGTCGCGTGGGTCGCGCCTCGGTTGGGGTTGGGGATCGAACGGTGACACGGTACTAGGCAGAAGGGATGAAAACAGATCGAATACGGTCGGAAACTAGCTATATCATATTTATTTTTATTTTTTTTCTCGGAATCGAAATCGGAATTGGAAACCCGAATACGAAAACGGAATCAAATATTATCGAATGCAGATACAGAGTGAATACGAATCGAAACGAATACGGTAACGAATAATTATCAAAATATCGACACCCCTCAAAATAAGTTTCTTAAATCGAGGAAGAAATATAGCCATTAGTTTTCAAAAACAAAACGTCAGTATTTTCAAATTTTATCTCTATTTATAAGGGCAAGGGGAGATAGAAAATGTTATGTTTACTTTTCATACAATTTATGTTATCATGAAATTAAATAAATTAATGTGTATCACTGAAATTTTCGCAGACGCATTGAAATTTTTGAAAATTGGTTGAATATTTTAAATTTTGGGTTGAACATTTCAATTGAAAGTTTTTAAAAATTCGAGTGATTATTTTTCAGAATTGAATTTTTTTCATTTGTTTGTACGTGGACCACTTAAGGACCCACATGGAAAAATCAATTTTTCCATACGGGTAACTTAAGAAGCCGTATGCAAAAATAAATTTGAAAATTTGAGACTAGTTTATCTCACTCATATGAACTCCAAATTAGATGATTCTTTTTTCTAAATGTTTCTAAAATCATACTCTATCATATTATTGTGTTATTACTGCTATTATTTTGGTCATTTTTTCTTGTGACTTTGTTTTATCAACTAAAAATTTGAATTTCAAAACTTCAAATAATATTTTGAAGCTGTAATTAATTTCAGCTGAAAAAGTCATCAACATAAAAGTTGTAGAGCTCATCAAGACATACAACTTTTATTTTGACTATTTCTTCATCCGATAAAGTGATAGTAACATTGTTCACAAAGTTTACATATCTCTCTTATATAGTTTATAGAACCAGATGAGACAGATGTAAATTTTGTAAACAATATTACTATCACTTTGTCGGATGAAGAAACGACCAAAATAAAAGTTATAGATCTTGATGAGTTATACAACTTCGTTGTTGATGACTTTTTCAATTGAAATCATTTAGTATTTTAAAATATTGTTTGAAGTTGTCATATTTTGAAATTCAAATTCAAACGGTTCAAACAAAATCATATTGAAAAATGTCCAAAACAAAAGTTGTAGATGTTGATGTGTTATACAACTTTGTTGTTGACAACATTTTCATTTGAAATCAGTTACTACCCGGAAAATTATTTGAATTTCTTATATTTTTAAATTCAAATTTTATATGGTTTAATCAAACTCGGATGGAGAAATGACCAAAATAAAAATGGTAGATCTCAATAAATTATACAACTTTGTTTTTGACAACTTTTTCTTACGAGTTGATTTTAATGCCTTAAAATTCATTTTAAAGAGCCACATATAAAAAAAATTGATTTTTACATTGAAAAAAAATCCACCTTTTTTTACCCCAACCTTATCTACTCTTCTCTTGACCCTTCCTCTCCTCTCTCTTTCTCAGTTTCTACTCTCTCTCTCTCTCTCTATCTCTCACTTCCTCATCCACAGCGGCGCCGGGCGGGGTGGGCGGCCGCAGCGGCGCGGATCTGGCGCCGGCCACGCGGCGGCCGGCGGTGGGCGGGCACGGCCGGCTAGGGTTCCAGTTTTTTTTTCTAAAAAATATTCCCGAATATCCAATGAAAAATCCCGGATAGTTTCTGACCGTTTTCCGATTCCGTTGGATATCACCCTTACTGTATTCGTTTTCATATCCGAGAAAAAAATCCGAATTCGTTTCCGAATCCAAGAAATTCCGGATAGTTCCGATCGAATTTTTCTGAATCCGAAAATTGGTCCGGATGGACGGAAACTATCCGAACCAGTTTCATCCCTACTAGGTAGGGCCGGATATCGAGCCGTTTCAGCTCGGCTCGGCTCGATCCTCGTTACGATCCTAAGGACATCCACAATCTGGGACACATCTAGACGTAGGGAAACTCCTATCACAATGAAAGATACCCCTAGAAGCCCAACGAGTGTCCCTAACCCAAAAGCCCACGTAGGTATTTTACTATACTATCCCTCTCTTCTTCTCTCTCCCCCTCATTTACTCCCATCTCTCTCGTCCTTGCCATCTCTCCCTTTCTCGTCTCCCTCTCTCCCGTTCTCCCGTCGCTGCCCGTCCTCGCCTCTCCCTCTCGCTGCTCAGCCGCTTGCCATCGCCGGCAGCTGCGAGGGCCACCTCCCTCCACCACCGTCACCTCTCCCTCTCGCTGCGAGGCCGCTCCCACCGCCGCCGCCCGCTGCCGCGCGGTGGCCGACGGAGGGCCGCGCGCGGGACGCACTGGTCGACGGCGAGCGGCGCGAGGGACGGGGGTGGCCGACAGCGTCGTCACCGTCCGCCTCCTCCGCCTCACCGGTCTCCTCTACCTCGCGCCATCCGCCTCCCCGATCTCCTCCTCCTCGCGCCGTCGCCGGTCGGGGGCGGCAGATCCGGCGCCCTAGCGGGCGGATCTGTCCCCCCCCCTAGCCAGATCGGGGAGGAGATGGTGGCGGTTGTCGCCGTCGCCTCCGACTCCTCCCCACTGCTAGCGACAAGACCGAGGGTGGAAGGGGAAATTTGTGGAGCGGGAGCCGTGTCCACGAGCCACGCCCTCCTCCAACACGTAGCCCCGAGCGGTGTCTCTAGAAAAGCAGCCGAGGCGCGCGTTCCTCTGCTAGGGGTCACGCCTCTCTCATAATGGATGACCCGGCGACGGAAAGCAGGCGTCGTTTGCAAGGGCACGGGTTGAGGGTACCGATTATGGATGGCCTAATGAGCTAGTACTCCATAGAAGTTTAGCTCGGTCGGCTCGTTGGATAGCTCGAGCTGGCTCGTTTAGCTCGTGAGCCAGTGACTAAAAAATACAACTGCAGGCAAATTGGTGAATCAATAAGACAAATCAACAAAAACAACTACAAGTTCCATCCATGCATACATATTTCAAGCTTTCAGCACAAAGCAGCACCACTTCTGCAAGCACAAGGGCACACACAACCAGTCCAACCTTTGTTCCATTGCATTAGCTGACGACATAAGGACGATGTCATATTATTAGGTGTTTGCTTCGGGATTCCAAGCTTGTTGGTGTTGAAAGCACTTCGTCTTTCTCCTCCATGGTGCACACAGGCCTGCGGCAGGTGGCAGGATGTGCAGGTGACAAGTGGCGTGGTTAGCTGGCGGCAAGGGGCGAAGGGAGGCTAGAGATGGCGTCGCCGCGTCCGCTGGACTGCGTGAAAAGGGGATCGAGAGAGAGAGAGAGAGATTGATTGATTGATTCGAGAGTTTGAGATGGTAGATGGATAGGGTTTTGGAGGTTTATATTTGGGCCTTATGGGCCGCAAGTTGGGAGAAAGATTATATTTGTAGGCCTGTAGACTACTGAGGTGTGTCACGATGTGTGCTGTGTAGTAAGGTGCTTATGGGCTACCCTAACACGCTAAGCTCACAAGCAGCTCACGAGTCAGAGCTGGCTCGTTATCTCTAACGAGCTAAAATGCTAGCTCAGCTCGTTAGAAAAATACAACGAGCCGAGTTAAGCTGAGCAGAGTTAGTCACGAGCCGAGTGAACTAACGAGTCATGAGTTTTTCGTCCACCCCTAGTACTAGGGTGACGGGTGACCATACGTCTAGACCTGCCCAGTTGTCGGCGCCACGTGGTCGTGGCTACAACTGCAAGCCTGCAACATTGCGTGATTGTATCACAAGTCGGCTCATTTAGGTCACACCCCCAGTATGCCATATGTGCTACACCACCCACGAGTGAGCCACTCATTCCCACAAAAAAAAGGTTCATTTGCATCCCCCATCCAATGTTCGAGTTTGAATGGTTTCCCACAACTATAAAACCCGGTACAGTATAATAAAACTTGATATAGCGCATCCCTCATGTTGCAAAACAAGCGAAAATGAGGTCCATTGGCTGTTTGGATGATGTTTTTGTCCTATATGTCATGTTAACTTTGTCCACTCGAGATGATGTGTCGCCTACGTGACAATTGTATAAAAGCAGGGGCGGAGGTTCATGTTAAAGGGGGGACCCAGGAACCCGGTTAAGAAAATCTTTTAGCATTAGTTTATCTATTTTCATCATATATGCACCCTCCTCAGTGCAAACTTAAGCACCCACACCAGCTTAAATTTGGTCCAAAAGAGAGTAAAGCAAGCATGTGGCACCCCTCTCCATTTCACTCGCTTCCAAATGTCAGTAAAGGTAAATATTTCACTCGCTTCCTCTCTAGAGCTCCTCGCCATGATAGGCATTGGACAACAATGGTGGTGGCCTCCTCGGTGTTAACAGCGGCATGCGCTCGCTGGAGCTAGGAACGAACTCGCCGAAGCCCAGTAGCTGCACCACAACACGTGGCTATTTCCATGGCGGAGTCCAACCGGTGGTGGCTTCATACAACAAGGAGAGGAAAAGGGAGAGGACATCGAGAAGGGGACGAGGCGGGGCTCAACAATGTGGTTCATCGGTGTGCACTACTCCATCACCAGCACCAGACCCCTAGCTCGCCTTTGCCACGCCCACACCAGTCCTAGCGTTGGACCCCTCTCCGTCCTCCCACTGCCAAGTGCTCATGGAGACCACAAAGGATGCGACGCCATCTCGCTGAGCAGCAGTCGCCCCAGCAGCAAGAGGAGCCTCTCCACCACCGATGGCCTTTGGCTAATGTAGGTCCAATCACCGTCGTTCTCATCAATTGGCTCCTCTCATCAGTACA